GTGTCATATTTGGCGAGGACATGGGTATATTTATATATAGAGAGGGAGAGAGAGAGAGAGAGAGAGGCAGTGATAGTTAAATAAATGGTTTGAATACAACAACACTAAGATTCCTACTGACAGGATTGATTAATTGGACAAAGTTTGGTTCTTTCACCCATGTCTATTCACAATTATGAAGATATTAGATTCATGCATGGTATATCACATTATATTCTAGGACTAGTATTTGATATCCATGATTGCAAATATATTATATTCATGGTATATTACATTATATACTACCACTAGGATTTGATATCTTACATCTTGTATTTATTATTGGTGGCAAAAGCATTATAGCTTCATGAACATTACTGTATCCATAACTTACATAGGACATAGATCTCTCTTGGGATTTTCGATTTGATTAATATATTATTGCATAAATGATAGGTTTCATTTTTCGATCCACATGTGTTATTTAATATAATAATTTTTTTTTTTTGTGAAATAGACAAGAAAACTATTCCAACTTTAACTATACTTTAGTACCAATCGAAAGTAGACAAGGAATTTGTTTGCATTTTTTAGACTCATTATCTATAATATACTTGGATAAAGGAGAGTCTTCAGAATATGTAGAAAGAGAGAGAGAGAGAGAGAGAGAGAGAGAGAGAGAGAGAGAGAGAGAGAGAGAGAGAGAGAGGATAAATGTTTTCTCCTTCTGTAAGAGCCTAATGTCTTGGATTCTATTGACAGATGTATGTTCATCCCCCTTTAAATGAGCCATCTTCTTAGGCAGATTGTGCAATCTTTTCATTGGTAAGCTTTAATTTTCACATATCTGATGTAACCACGAATAAAAGGAGTCTGATAAATACAACTTCATGTTCATATCCTTAATGCATAACAATATTACATATTTGAGTTAATATCCTTTGGGAAGATTAATCTGCACCTCCTGAATGAGGAACAGTGCTTGATCGGACATCGACCCAATCAAATCTTGAACCATTGATTGAGATTGAACTGATGGATCCATCGACCGGAGTGCAGATTTGATTTATAACTATTAAGATTTAAATGCCCTTTAAATGAATTTAAAACTCAAATCTTTTAATGCTCTGATACTTCACCCGATCGATTGAAGGTCCGGTTCTCAGTTTGTCCGATCGGACTGACCGATTCAATTCGGGTTTTATAACGCTATGTTTTCGGCGTTAAATATTGGACCTAATTTGTTGGTTTTTTCCTTCAAAAATCAGTGGTATAAATACTGGATCGAGAACATGCGATATCCAATACCACCTCTTTAAGCTTAGAAAGATAGAATGCAAAGGATATCCGAAAGAAATGATTCACAAGTGATTCCACGAGAAGCCAGTCAAAATCAATCGAAACCACGGTCTTCATCACAAGCCTTCTCTCCGGTGCATGTACAAAATAATAATAATAAGAAGTTTCGAGATGCGTGCACGCGAAAAAGAGTAAGGAGTTTCAACCCAAACCCCACATAAGTGGACTTGGGAAATCAATTAATGCTGCCATCCTTTACGTAAAGAGGTTGTTTATATTAACGTCAGTGCTCTCAAATAGATTTTTGTATATATATATATATATATATATATATTAAATTAATTTAAATAATTTGATGAAATAAGATACTAATCAATTTATATGTTATTATTGATTATATATATATAGTAGAATAATGAGTTTTTAAGGATATTGATGTAAATTAATATATTACATATATAAAGGGATAAATAAGAATATGATCGATTTTAAAAAAAGAATCTCTAAGGAGGTGCCCCCATTTTCAATGTTCGTATTTGGGTTTTTTTTTTCTAATATATTAAATATATTTTGTCGTTGCTTATCATCTCTATCTCGTTATGAAGCCTCGTCACCTCCATATGATTATTTTCGTTTTATCATCTTTTTTTCTTGTATCTTCATATTCAGTCATACAGAAGGAATGAGATGGAGATAGCAATGATAAAAAATATTTAGTATATTAAAAGAAAATATGAGTACAAAAAAATTAAAAGTTGGGAGTAAAAGTCAATTTTTTTAAATTAATCATCCTAAAAACATTATTGAGTTATATATATATATATAAATATATATAATTACCGTTTTACTTCTTTAATAGACGGATGAGATGAGAGAGTTGGAGATATGGAGGGTGGAGATGCGAGATCGATACCAATTCAGAAACCTCTGTTGCAATGCTTCTAACAGCCGTTGTATCAGTGTCTCTCTTAGGTTTCCATCCATCACTGGCCTTCTTTCTTGGGTCTACGTAAGAATCTGAAGTCCATCTTGCTCTGTGTAATTCTCCATGTCGTGAATTTGATATATCAGCAGGGTCCAGATTTATCGAACACCGTCTTTTAATTCTGCTGGGATCGAACATTATCCATAAAAGTGAGTTCGTTTTGGCATTGGCCTTTGCCAGTGGTAAGACGGTCGAACACATCGCAGGGTGTGTTTGATCATGGCAATATATGGAAATGTACATGCGTGCAATATATATAAGTCGATTGATGTGGCTTTACGAAATGGCCTGCGCTGTCCCCTTGCAGAAACTTTCCCTTTCCCATGCGTGAACGCTTCAAAGTAAAGTCCAATCCAAGGTATGCGTGCGCCAAAAGGCCCGGCAATGTTCCGGTAATTTGGAGAGCTTTACTTGAAAGCAACCTAGGAGGAGACTCAATATATCTGCCTCGCCTTTCAGCTCTCTCCCATTGTCTTGTGCTGATCTCGATGGCCTCTTCCACCATGAATCTCGCCATTCTCCTCCTCTCCGTGTTCCTTGCTACATCCTTCGCCCTTCCCAGCGACTTCTCCATCGTTGGCTACTCTGAGGAGGACCTGAGCTCCCATGACAAGCTGATGGAGCTCTTCGAGTCATGGATGTCCAAGCACAGCAAATCCTACGCAAGCTTCGAGGAGAAGCTGAGGAGGTTCGAGGTCTTCGAGGACAACCTGAAGCACATCGACGAGACTAACAAGAAGGGCCGCAGCTACTGGCTCGGGCTCAACGAGTTTGGTGACATGAGCCATGAAGAGTTCAAGGCGAAGTATCTGGGAGTGAGCACCGACGTGCCGAGAAGGAGAAGCTCCAGTCCCAGCTTCAGGTACGAGAATGCTGCAGACCTGCCCGAGTCAGTGGACTGGAGAAAGAAGGGTGCAGTGACCCCGGTGAAGAACCAAGGTCGATGCGGTAAGCAACTTGACCAAATTTGTTCTGGAACGCAGACTCCAGCTAGTTAGAGACACCACTGATCGATCATGTACACATGCAGGTAGCTGCTGGGCGTTCTCGACGGTGGCAGCTGTCGAGGGCATAAACCAGATCGTAACAGGGAACCTGACCTCGCTCTCCGAACAGCAGTTGATCGATTGCGACACCCAAAACAACGGCTGCAATGGAGGGCTGATGGATTATGCCTTCTCGTTCATAGCCTCCACTGTTGGGCTGCACACCGAGGATGACTACCCCTATCTCATGGAAGAAGGCACCTGCGAGGAGCAGAGGGTAAGTAACAGTACATGCGTGTATATATATGCTGCCAAAAGCTCAATGCATCTCAACACATTTGCTCTTCATGCTGGACTCAGGCTGATCTCGAGATGGTCACCATCAGTGGCTACGAGGATGTGCCGGAGAACAGCGAGGAGAGCCTGTTGAAGGCGCTGGCAAACCAACCTGTAAGCGTTGCCATTGAAGCTTCCGGCAGGAGCTTCCAGTTCTACAGTGGGGTGAGGACTCTTGTACCTGTCTCTAATGTTCTGTGAAAGTAGTGGGGGTTGGTGACGAAGAGCCCTGTCGCCGATTGCTTGTGCAGGGAGTGTTCGATGGGCCGTGCGGAAGTGAACTGGATCATGGGGTGGCAGCGGTGGGATATGGCTCATCCGAGGGACAGGATTACATCATCGTGAAGAACTCGTGGGGCCCGAGGTGGGGGGAGAGGGGTTACATAAGGATGAAGAGGAACACGGGGAAGCCCGAAGGCCTCTGTGGCATCAACATGATGGCTTCTTACCCCACGAAAGATGATTGAGGGATTGCCTTTGTTACAATCCCACTGAAACATTTAATGTGTGATTTCCTCTTCTGATTTATTGAAAATAAAGATATATATAATATATACTAAACTCTCACCACAATTGGTCCCATGGTCTAGTGGTTAGGACATTGGACTCTGAATCCAGTAACCCGAGTTCAAATCTCGGTGGGACCTACGTTGCCACTCATTTTTGTTGTTTTACTCTTTGAATATGAAGATTCTGATCCATTTCTGAAACGAATTGGTCCCATAGTCTAGTGGTTAGGACATTGGACTCTGAATCCAGTAACCCGAGTTCAAATCTCGGTGGGACCTACGTTGCCACTCATTTTTGTTGTTTTACTATTTGAATATGAAGATTCTGATCCATTTCTGAAACGAATTGGTCCCATAGTCTAGTGGTTAGGACATTGGACTCTGAATCCAGTAACCCGAGTTCAAATCTCGGTGGGACCTATTTTCTCTCTTTTTCGTAGTTCTATTATTTGAATATGAAAATTTTGATCCATTTCTGAAACCTCTTGGTCCCATAGTCTAGTGGTTAGGACATTGGACTTTGAATCCAGTAACCCGAGTTCAAATCTCGGTGGGACCTACTTTATCTCGTTTTTGTAGTCTTACTCTTTGAATATGAAATTTCTGATCCATTTGTAAAACGTATTGGTCCCATAGTCTAGTGGTTAGGACATTGGACTCTGAATCCAGTAGCCCGAGTTCAAATCTCGGTGGGACCTTAATAGTCTTAATTTTTTCGTAATTTTAGCGTATGAAGATGATGGATCTGATCCAAACCCGAATAGAAGGCCCAAAATAGGACCCGTTAAAAATCTGTCAGCCACGAAATATACGGATGCAATCCGAATTCCAATTCGACCCGTTTGTATCACCACATCGCAAATCGCAGAGGGCCACTGTAAGATGTTCTATTAAATTTGCTTTGTGATTCGGGCACTGTGCGGGTCGCTTCAAGAACCCTAACCCCCTTACTCCAGCCGTCCCCTTTCCTCGCGCTTCCGAGTCGCCGTAGCCTCTTCCTCTGCGCGCCCACTGAGTCGGATCGACTAAGGAAGCGCGAGACTTCTGTTGATACGGGCCGCGGCAGCGATTCACATCCGCACACGCCGTAATCCAACGTTTTCTCTTTGTTTGTACAATATTTATTCTTTTCTTCGTCTTATTAAAGCTTCGATTCGATTCAAGTGACCGCTCTTTTCTGTTAATTTTGTGGGAAACGACCTTTATTTTAGTGGGTTCTTGAATTAGTTCTTATTGATCTCTTGAATTCTAATTAAAACGATCAATGATCGTATGGTTTTGGGTGATTGAATCAGTTCTTGCTGCCTAAAGTTACCGAGGAAGGGGCTTCGCTGAACTTGGTTGCGTGACGATGGGGGTGGAATTGGCGAGCAACGATCTGCCGATTTTTGAGGTGGAGGATTGCTACCTCAGTGACTCGGAAGCTTTTGCTTCTGTTATACATGTCCTCGATGGTGTTAGGATGGTAAGAAGCTCAAATAATCAGTAAAGCTGTGCCATCTTTCTCTGCTTTTCTTTTTATTGCGAGCCAGCTTAGAATCTACAAGCTTGATGACAGCGATTCGATGAGTGTCATTTTTTATCCTGAATTGGCCATTACGAGAAAGTTCATGAAGCTTGACCCCTTGTACAGAGTTTATCTTTCAACAGAATCAGCAGTGCACCTATGGTTATCCACTTAAAATGAGACATTTATTTTTGCCTGTGTTAGACTAGCTCAATTTGACGTCAATTTGTGATGTTCCTCGATATAATGGACACATGTTACTATTTTTATGGATTAAGCTTCAATGGAGCTGTTGTATTTGTGTCGTACTATCTGTCTTATACATATTAATTTACATTCTAGAAGTGCTTAGTGAGAGTGATTATCATGTTTATTTTTTTTCCAGGCTTCAGTTTTGGTAGCTCAGAGTGATAGAGATCAGTATGACTACCTGCTTAGCATTGTGGATCCAGGAAAGAGAATGGGTCCTGACGAGGAGGCTTTACTGGCGGTTGGTGATGATACATATATACAATTAGGGATCTGTGCTGAAAATTTTAGAAACCTGACATTCTTTCTCAATCTATTCTGCAGACGGCATTGAAGGCACTATCAGGAGCTGTCTCCAAAATAGACATTGTATACCATGGTTCTCTAATTAGCAATGTATGTCCTAGGAGAATACAATCATGGCTCGCTCTTTGTGTTTGTGTGTGTTTGTGTATGCTCCATTAGCTTCTTAAGTCATAATTGCTTACAATATATATGCCAGATTTTTGGTTTGTGCCTATGGAACTATGGGTTGGATGCGAGGAATGCATTGTTGGAATTGATCACTTCCTTGGTATGCATATTTATGAAGAGGATAATTTCTTACTATTAGCTTTAGTCAATGTGCATTACTTATGCAATTCTTTTGGTCACTGACACCAGGCTGCTGTTCCTGACAAGTTTCTTGATGGTTGTTTACGTATGCTTGTGAACAACTTTCTGCCACCTCGAAGGCTAAGGGAGTCCATCAGCCAATCACGATGGATTACAAGAAAGAAAGAGGTTCATAGTGAGCTTCACATGGCTTTGCATTATATCACTGATGTAGTACCTCTTGCTCCAATGAAGCTGAAGAGCATAATTGAAAAAAGAATGCCTAGATGCACAGACCCCAAAGATGTAAGTTATGAAGCTTCTGTTTGTTAAACCTTTAACTCTCCTTTTTAAAACCAGACTTAGAAACATGCTTATTGATTTGGAGTGGTGATTGTGGACTTCTGCAATTGTATTAATAAAACCATCTTTCCTTGACATGCTTCTTTGGATTAGTGAATGAAAATCATTCTGATGTACAGAGACTGTAGGCTAAAATCGTTCTGTTATATAGAGACTATAGAATATCTTATTGTTAATCTCTTATCAAAATTTTCCTTTTTCCTCAGTTTATTCTAGCAATCTGGACTTTATTCTTCTGGTGCAGTTCACTATCACCTGAATATTTGTCAGCATTTCTTTTCTTTCGGAAGTTTCTTTTCGGAAATATAGAGAACATGTTACTTCCAAATTCCATTCCCAAAATTGAAAGCTATTTCTCCTGTTTATCTCCAAATAGTGCATCAGAAGATACCCAAACTTTTCTTTCTCTTCACTAACAGTGTAGTGGTGAAAGGCTGTAGCCATGGTATTATTTCTTTCTTGTGAGTTTGCTTTTCCTCATTATTGCATCTTTTGCAATATGAGGAATTATGACAAACAAAATTCACTTATGCAGCTTAGGTAATTGGTACTTCTAGCTGGAGTCAGTCGGTTGATTAGAAAGAATCAGGAATGAGAAGTATGGATGAACATATATCTGCTCTGAAGAAAACACCTTATGATATTTGTAGGGGATGGATTCCATCATGTTGTTGTTTTGGATAGTGTAGAGGTCATTTTATGCGTGATATAACTTCAAAAAGACATCAATATTCTTTTTTTTTTTTTTTACGATGGTAAGCCTCATCTATAGCAAACACATTATTTTGCTTATACATCAGGTGTTTTTCTCTTACACCTGTACTGCTGGTTGCTTCAAGTTGACGTGGAAGTTTCTTGTATGATTTCTTTGCAATATGAAAAAATAGTTTTGACTTCCTGTGGTAAATCTGGAACCAACTCATCAAGTTCAAACATATGCAGATGATTGTACTATATGTGGAGTGCATGCTTGGGCTGGAAAATGATGAGATTGGAGAATTCCTAGGAAGCACATTGTTGGCAAAGTTGGTGGATTTGCTTACAGATTTGGATGTAAGTTCTAGTCCTGTTAGTTTCTTGATGAGATTGTGTTTGCAAATAAATCTATAGCCTTAAGTGCTAATTTCCTAGTGTTGCAGGTAAACATAACCTGGGAGGATATTCTGCAGGAAGAGCATAACAAGGGCATATTTGAGATGGAACTTGAAGAATGGGAAGATAATATGGGTACTGATGCTGAAGTTGGAGTCAAGGTTTGTTTTTGACCAACATGATATTTAGTGGATTGTAGGATATAATCATACAATGTTCTTGATGAAATCTATTAATTACTTTTTCCCGACTTCAAATTGGGACTGAGATGCCTATCATGTTTTTCAGCCTCCCATGGAAAATGGGGTTTTAAAGGGCAATGCTTTTGCCGACAAATTGGATGGTCTGATGGTGATAGTCTGTGAACATCTCAAATCACGGGCAGAGAATGGCCATTTATTAAAGGTGAACTTCTACATCAAACATCTATTGTTTTTAAAGATATTGCATCGACCTAGAGAAATTCCCAATATTCTCGTAGGTTTTATTTTCAATGTGTATGTTTAGTGTATGTAGTCAGATTTTTATATGAAAGAAAAACAATATTTTTGTTCTTAAAGGTATTGGTTGTTGATTTTGTGGCTTGAGTATTAAACATCCAACTTGTTCTTGGGTTAGGTACTCAAAAAAGGTCAACATAAGCTAAATATGTTTACCGAGTGGAAATAGACACACAAGTAATAGCTGAGAAGACTACCACTGCCTGAATTTTCAGGTTGTGTTGATGTTACCATAAGTTGGCCATCCATCAAACTACTTAGATGCTCAAATTCTTGTATGATCCATATAGCATCTAAAGAAGAGTTGTTTGTTGGTTATTTTGTTTAGTATAGTACAATATATTGTATCTAATTATACATTATTTACTTTTTTTCCTTTTATATGCAACTGTTCATAATATATAAAACAAGTTCAATTGAGATATCCTAAGTGACGTATACTGTAAAATTTTACCATTTGCCAAAATTATGGTATTCCTTGTTTCTTTGCTTGTGACATTAAACTAGCTCTCATCACTTGATCATCTAGTTTTAGATTATTAAGCATTATGTAAACAACCTAACAAGGAAAAGACTGCTCGGAACAGAAGCTGCTGTTAGTATTAAATTCTTGCAACACCTCTTAACATGTTTAGTACTGTTTATGTGTGATACTCCTTTACTATGACATGGAGATGCTTTTCCAGGTTGACTGCATTCCAGTTTGTGTTGGGCAAACTGTAAAATCAATCTATTCTGAGGTCACACTTGTGATTTATATGTTGCATATTTTGCATCCTCACGTGGATTTTTTAAAGGAAATTATCATTCAAGCAAGAATTTTACTCAATGTCAGTCTTAGGACCAGACATATTATTAGGAACGACTATCTCAAACGCTCTGATGATTTAGTCTCTACAAATGGTTATTTTCATATTGAAAAATAGGCGATCCAGTCCTTGTGGCTTCCACTAACATGTGGCCTAGGAAGGGTCAATGTATGAAATCTTACTCTTGAAAGCAAAGAGATTCCACGATTCGAACATTAACACCTCGTTTGCTAAAAAGTGACCTTGCCATGGCCTCAAAGGTCACTTTCTGATGTTTATTTCCAAATTGTAAGATATAATATAAATCTTGGCCTCAAAGCTTGCTCTCTATGTGACATGCTTTGAATAAAGTAACTGTCAGTGACCTGTTTGCTGATCTATGCATGATAAACTTCAGCAAGTTACTGCCTTCGTTGGCTTTACACTAGATATTTTGTAACCTTCTGTTTTACTCTCATCTTGTTCTTGGTTAAACAGGTTTTTGAAGCACTTTCAGAGATTTTTCGAAGAGCTATGTTAAAACTTCACAAGTCAAAATTTGCTCAGGTAGTTTTGTTTTCTTGCTTTTGAAATATTGTTTCTTGTCTATTATCTGGTAAGCTTCACTCAGTTGCTCATATGTGCAGTTCCTGATGTTCTATGCATGTTCCCTGGATCCTGACATTTGTGGTCTGAAATTTGCTGTTCTGCTGACTGATATCTTTGTTTCAAAGAATGAGGATCCAGATTCCAGGTTATTTCGGAACTTCAAACTGAACATAATAAACCAGAGTTTTTCCTAGTTACTGATGTTTTAATGTTAAACTTGATGATAAAGTTTAATCTCTTACTAGTCCATGAGCGGGGAACACCCAGTGGACAACTTTTTGTCTGTAATTAGAGGTTGGAATTGTCTATAGTAACCATAAGCAGTAGAGAAGACATAATAACACATTGCTGTAGAATAGTTCATTTTTCAAACATATATCTTGTCATCTAGTGTTTCTTTTGTGTTGTTAGTTACTCTAAGCTTAGAGTGAAGTTTGTGGCTTTACACTATCAAACATTTTATAAAGGATGAGAGCAGAGAGAGAGCATTTCGAGTCAGCAACTCGGCATATTGACTATACTGAGAAATTATCTGCAAGAACGCGTTCAAGTTGTTGGAGTGTGTACCTGGTGATTGAGCATAACACGGAAAGCAATAATGATTTTGCCAGACCTTATGGTGCATATAATGTTGTTTTTGACATGTGACTTTTAATGGCTCAAAAGTTGCTATTCTTATCCCTTCAAATGGTTCACATGCCTTGTTCACTTTCTTTTTGTGAACATTTTTAAATATCTTACTGTTATTATTGTTCCCAGATTTTGACCAGGACCTTACATTCATTTTTTGTGTCTCACAGTTTGATTTTTACGTAAAACCTATGAGCTATAATGAAGATACACATGGGCTAGCGATAGTTTCTTGTGATTATGAGGTCAAGCTTCCGCAATAATATCTAGGACAAAATGTCTAACTGGTTGTCAATTAACGGATTGTCCAGTTTCATACTTTTTGATTCTTTGATGTTGCTAATTTTGTCAAATATTTGTCACTGGTTTCAGAAAACTGAATATGAACTCCTCTGGTAGGATCTTTGAACTTTTTTCTGCATTTGTAAGATACTCTAATGTTTCTTGAATAGGAAAATGGAAAATAGCATTGCTTGCTATTTTGTTTCTGTTTCGACAAATCCATTTGGTTGTGTATGTACATCGTTGCTTTCAAAATTTAGCTTTTACTCAAGGAGGGCTTTGAAATCTGACATTGTTTCTATATTCATTAGTGAGCTGGATATCATGTATGCTATTCTGGGCTTAACATGTTCTTGCAGTCATAATTATGTTGGAATTGCTTGATTAATGTATTCATTGCTTAGCTTAATACCAATCAATAAGAGATTGAAATTCTTTGATTTACCAGGTTTCTTTTTGGTTTTTTTTTCTCAGTCAACAAGTGTTATATGATTTTTTTTGGGCTTAATCAATGTAGAATGAAGGCTGTTGCATATCTTGCAAGTTATCTGGCACGGGCTAAGTTTGTTTCATCTTCCATGGTTGCAAGTATACTTAAAAGGTTTGTGAAAAATCCTTCTATGTCTTGCATCTAATTCTTTATCCATATATTTCATCAACCAAGCCGGTCCTTATTTGAATCCTGTTTCAGATTAGTTGATTGGTGTTTTGAATATTGCCAATTCCAAGATAATCAAGGAAAGATCAATCCTCAAGCTCATCGAGTCTTTTATTCCGGATGTCAGGTAAGATATGAACTATTTCGAACTTGAGGCTCTTTAAATGTCCCATATTCTTAGTCATTTTGCATGCTGAGAATGTAATATGAGCTTATGTTCTCATCATCTTTTGTTGTACGGACAGTCGGACACCTTACCAGGTTATAAAATATTTGTGTATGGAAACAACTGCATGGATGCATTGTCTTTTTCTGTCTTTGTTGGGAGGAAAAGGCGATTTCTCCCCCTTGTTTCTCTTTGTGGGAATAAATATAAGACAATAGGCAAAGCTGGTGAAGTAGGATGCTTTGTTGGATGGTTTAGTACTTTGGTATTGGCATTAGTTATCATCTGACTATATTCTTGTTATGGCAACTATAGTTCATATGACTTCTAAAAGTTTTGGTTTGTGCTTGTCAACAATCAACAGTCTGTCAGATTCCTCCACCTCTAAACGACCTATTCAGAGGTGGTGGTAATACCTTAACCGCATTAATGAAAAAATCCCTCAACTGCAGTTTTTGGTTTGCCTTGAGATCTTTCTCTTCCTTTCTACAGTGCAAACCCAGCTTGCAAATTGTGGCCTGGTTCCACTTGAATGCAATATTAGTTGACTGAGATCTCTTTGGTAGAACCATGGTTATGGTGATTTGTTTTAATCAAATTGAATTAGGATATAAACCTTGTTTAAACTACGCTTTGTTCTTTTGTGGGCATTTTAATAATTTCTAAGTGATTTACGTCATTTTAGGAACATAAACAAGAGCAATAGCAAGTGACACTATATGTACATTATAACTAATTATGATGGTTTACATAACTGTTACCAGCTTGTTCTCATTTGTTTTCACTTTTCACTATGTAGTTGTTGCCTTATTATGTATCAGAGTATTTTGAACTGCAAATCACGATTATATAAGTTGCTATGATGTATGTTCCTACATGATTTAGTTGAATTTTACTCTTTTCCCTGTAGGCTGCAATGTACATCCTGTGCTTTCGCATGAGATCAATCTTGGATGTTCCTCACCTCAAACATCTGCTTTTTCATATGCCTCTGGGTTCAATCTTGTGTCACCCGACCTTGGATCCTCTTAAGGTTTGTGGGAATTCATGTTTATTTGCTTTAAGTTGGGTATTTAAATTGCTAATCATGCCTGTGGAGTGGAGTATTTAAATATTTGTAACTGCTGATATATTTGCAACACATGAAGATAAAGAGAGTCTTACGTTGAACCCACAGACATACCATTACAGATTGAAACGGAGAAAATTTCCGACATGTCTCTTTAAGGAACAAGAATCTCTTCTAAAGCCCCTCAAGTACGAAAATGTAATCACCAACAAAACCTTAGTCCTTAGTGTCCAATGTGCATATAAGAGCTGTATGAACATCAGCCCCAAAAAACTTGGTTGGGCTTCCATCCTAAACTCCATGGTGAGCTTGGGCCTCCGAAAAATATTGGACCCAACCTCTTGGGAATCAGGAAAAATGCAAGAAAACACAACATACTTGATCCTTTTTAAGTGTTCCAAGCGTGGGGTTGATGAGTCTGATACTCATCTCCATTGCAAGATTAATAGTTCTTGATATTTCAGAAATGAGGGACTCTCATCAAATCAGGCCCTCAGTTAATATGCATTACATTGAATTGAAGGTGATGGTTGAGAGATGAAGCCAAATTTCTGTGACATTCTTCTGTGGATCATAAATGTTCTGATCTTTGCCTGACCATATTGCAGGTTTGTTTGCCCTCTATTGTGCAAGAGTTTCTTAGACAGGCAAAGGCTGCTCGGTTGTTTAAAACATCAGTCCCTTACCTTTATGACTACTCACTTGAGTCTGAATTCTCAAAAGCTTTTGGAGGAATTGAGCGGTTGGACATGTTCTTCCCATTTGATCCATATTTACTAAAAGAGTCTGACAGGTTTGTCCTTATTCCTCACACCAAAAATTGTTTGGAAAAATTTCAAATCTAAATTACTTGTTAGTAGATTATGTTTTCAGAATCCTGTACAAGAATATTTTCAAGCTTCTTATGCTAAATTTAGAGGACTTAAGCATCACAATGATTCTGATTTCCTTGGATTTAGCCTTTGATGTGAGTCACATTACATATGGCTCCTAATAATGACAGCCTTTCAAATTCTTTTAATGATAATTAATATAGTAGTTATATCGTTGGGCAAGATTTGCTATCGTTGGTTCTATTGAAATTTCATTTATTAAATATATAGATACCTCTTCTAAATATTGTCTCTGAACCATTACTTCTCTTTTTGAAGATTCATGCGGCCGAATTTCGAGTTCTGGTCCATGGTAAAGACGACTTACAGCAATTGCAACAGCGAAGATGAGTATGAATTTGATGACCTTGATGCCCCTGATTTCCCTGAGAATGCAGGGATTTATGAAGAGCATGACGATCTAGACCTCGACAATGGGGATGATCTTGAGTACTCTTTGAACAAGATGTCAATTACTCCAAAACCTGCCTTCCAGCATCCCATAAATACCAACTTCCACCAGCCTGCACGAATGCCTGCAAGAATCAGACCATCTGTTAGTCCCACTTGGTAGCCACCACCAGCTTTCTTTTTAATGGCAATTTATTCTCTCTTCTTAACAAGGGATTCATCTAAAAGGGAACCGAAAAGATTTAAGTTCAGCTAATACTGTCGGTCTTTTATTTATAGATCACTGTTGTAATCATACTGAGATCATTTTGTAGACATTTCCAATTCATCATTATCTGCTGTAAAATAGAATGATTATAGTGATTGGTTTGTGCAATTTTGTTCGTGTATTCTTCGAGTTAATATAACTGGCATCTGTCTTGAGTTTGTGTGATGAGGGGGATTAGTGTAAAACTTTTAGTGGCCTGTTTTGAACAGTAATGTGTCAGAGAGAATCTGACACAAATTGTGTGTAAAATTTTCAGTAAAACGTCAAGAGGCCTGTTCTTCTGGCGAGCTTACCGTCTGTAAAAAGCTTTAGCAACATGTAAAAATGTAGTTCAAAATTGCTGTGTTCACCGCGGTTCAAGTGCTATAATAGGAGTATCTGCAAAATTATTCATTCTTCGGATGTATTGTCACGCCGTGGTCAGCTGAAGTGCCTTTCAAAAACATGTAAAAGCCAAGCAGTGCCTTCCAAAACATGTAAAATAAAAGAAAAGCCAAGCGGATAACGGGTTTTATGAACAGGAACAGCTGTAACAGACTCTCGCAAGCTCCGGCAACAGAATCTTACGGTGATTGTATCGTATCCCGCATTCGGGTCATATGATCTCGGTCGGTCTCCGCTTTCATATTTCGAAGGCTTCGCTCCAAAACCCTGGACGCCAGTAGAGCTTCTTCATATTGCTTCTCTGGTCCGCAGGCATACGTCTTCCCCTCGTCTTTCTTCGGGACTCGGGGTAGATTCCGCTGTGGGCGTCTCAAGGCGTGGCCGTGTGGATCGTTAACCAGGTTTCTTCCGTTCGAATTACTTGTTCATATTGCAATTGTTTGTCTATATTCACCCGTTCGATCGGATAAGGCTACGATATCTTTTGTTCTATCAGAATGTATTTCTAGGGGATAGTAGTTTCGAGTCTTGTGATCATTTAGGGATCAGGTAATGTATGGCGTTGATGCGATAACGAAGCACTGGGATCAGTAGGGTTTTGCGCTTACCTTTTCGTTCATTACATTCAAGATTTAAGATATCATTCTTTCTCAAGGCTGCAAATGGAACTCCTGAAGATATTTTGATATGCATATTAGAGCAAGAAATAGGATCATGTTAAATTTATCTGTTCGCTGTCAAGGTTTATTGCTGATTTTTTATATGTTGGAACATTCTGCCCTTGAGAAACTACATAGTCGGCGATGACTGAGCTAATGGCTGAGGTTGGTTCGGAGCAAGAAACGACAGAGCTCTCTGAAAATAATGAGACTGAAGTAGAGGTTGAAGGTAGGGACTTATTAATGAAGGAGAATGATACAGATAAGCAGAGCTCTCAGCTGTCTGTGAAGGCTGGTAACTCTGAATCCGTCGAGACCTCTGCAGAAAACAATTTGGCTGAGATATCTGATAAGACTGATGATACACTGACCGAGAAGCAAGTTTATGGCGCACTCTTGGAGAAGAAAACTGATGAGACACTCTTGAACAAACAAACTGATGGTCTGGTCACTGTGACAATGGCTCAAATTGACACTGGTTCTGATCAAATAGGTGGTTTAGGTTCTCCATCTACACTGCTAGAAAATAAGACAGCATCTGTAATGACACATGTGAAGGAACCTCATGCAGAAGATAATCACACCAAAACCTACTTGAATGATGAAAATACTGGAGGAGATTGTTCGACCCAGTCATCTACCTTTAACCCCTACTTTGATGGCAATCTTTCTGGATCTGAGGAAGAACAAGCTTCTTTCTTGAAGGAGCTGGTGAGTTTCTATAAGAAAAGGAGGATGGTGTTCAGACCACCTAAATTCTATGGACAAACACTGAATTGTCTCAAGTAAGATCTGTGTCATTACGTTTGATTTTTGCTTTTTTTTGTGCATAACTCAAATGGCAGACCAACACTTCTGAATTTTTCTCTGCCAGGTTGTGGAGAATAGTAAGTAGATTGGGCGGTTATGAACTGGTACGTATGATATATTGTTCTTCCAACAATTGCTCATTGCTTGATGAATTTTCTTTTGTCCCAGGGTCTTGATAGGACCCTCATGCGCTGAGGGACCCTTCATTTAGTTGTTGCTATTCTTTGATATCCTTTTTTTTTATGTTTTAAGGTGGCTATTACAAGTCTTCTCCATCATTTATTAGACATCTAACCTTAGACAAGAGGAAAGTATGCTGTTAAATCATTATATATAAACAGGTTTCTTTGATGTTGGAAGTGGGTCTTGTGAACTAAGTTCTGATGCAACCACATGTAGAGTAGGTAGAACATAAAAAATAAAGAGTGAGGGAGGCCATGGTAGAGGCGATAGCGATTATAATTAGGACGATATCTAACAAGAGGTAGATGAAGAAGGTTACCATGACATACTTGTAAAAGAATTCAGATTTATATTAAGAAAATGTGTAGTTCAATACATTATTCAAGATTCTAACTATGCTTCTAGCTATAGTTACATTCAACTGATTTTAATTAAGTTGTTAGATTTTTCTTAGCTAGATTTGTTTGTATTGGATAACAATCAACTAGCCAATTGAAGTAGTAACAGTTTACTAAAAATTTAGATAAGTTTTGAATTTTAGCCCACCTAAAATGTACCAAAGTCTGTTAAAAATAATTTTGTAATATCTAAATAAAAAATTACCCCAAGTCTTGTTGGTTTAGGAACTTATTGGCAGTAAAAATGATAAGGCTTATTAGAAACAATAAAAAAAATAAACTGTTGGAAAATACAGCTTGTTGCATTTGTCATTCCATCAAATATTAACAATTAACAATTTTATCTCTTTGATCGCTTTCAGCTATGGTTAGTGTCGTTGGAATTGCTGTTTGATGATGAGTCTGATCAATGTAACACCTTCTATGAAATATAGCAGAGGGATGCATTGATGTGTTCAGTCTACTTACAGAACTAGACTTACACTAACTGGTGATCTCTACATGGATCAACACACTTCAAGAAAGAAAGAATTTGTCATTTAAGTAAACTCTCATGACCAAGAAATTACAAGAAGATGAATGGTAGTAACCAGAAACATATGCCATTTTATTTGCTATGTCCTCATAGTATGCTCTTTAATTTCTAAGAATAGGACATGCAAACCATATAAAGCAATGCTGTGTATATTATAAACCATCAGGTTCATTCTTTTGCTAAATGTGAGTGGATATTTAGGAATCGTGTTATTACTATTTTGGTACTGATATGATTGACCTGAAACTTATAGGTGACACAATGTAGGCTCTGGCCTGAGGTTGGACTGACTTTCAAGCCTCCCAAGTGAGACCTTTTCTTTACTTATATTGTTTTTGTTATTATTTTTAATTGTTTTGTAAATTGTTGATCATGAGAGAATCAGATGACACAAATTTATGAAGAAATCTATGGTCCACTGATTCATTTACCTTTTCGATGTCCATAACATTAGGAAAACTTTATCGCAACTGGTCAGAGCAATTATGATACGCTTGTCAGGTCTGTTTGAGTGACAAGGACCACCTTGGCTGCCTCAGTGTAATCTGGTATGCCATTAGGGATCATCTTTTATCTAGCTTGCCTACATATCAAAGGATGGGTTCCTGTTCCTTCCTATAGGATTTTACAAACAGAAAGCAATAATAAGATGATCATGAAGTATCCTGGTATTTCTTGCAGAAGTTTGAGACAAAATAAAACTAAAGTAAACAACTGCTATGAATACAATTCTGAAACCTTGTGATTGCAAAAGGTAGAAGCAGCATGATTTAATAGGAAAGTTGAAGTATTGTAATCTTGTAATGAAGTATGATACTGGACTTTGTATGACTTAAGGAAGTCACTCGATTATATTTCTCCAGTGCCATGTGTAGACAAATGGATTAGGACTTAAGAGAAAAAGAACAGGCAAATACGGTGATCTGTATCTTATTTTGTTATCATATACTTGTCTCGAGGGATCTAAATGATCAGTTGGTTGTTCATTAGGTGTCCTTTTAACTTTGACTGTTCATTTTAATTGCTACATTTTCTTTAAAAAAATTTGGAAGAATTTTCTTTCCTGACCTTCTTGACCATTGGGTTATAAAGTTTTATTATAACCAAACCACAGTTGAAAGCATGGATGAAGCTTATGCTTTATTAGCATCTTTTGAATGAAACATTTAGATGAACATTATGTAGTGCTGAATGCCAAGGATAACATGGAAAACGTGAGTGACAATTTTTGTCTAGGACTCTAGTATGATCAGCTACAGAAGCATTCTTTTTTTCTTGGGGGAAAATCTATTAATAGATGCCACTACTTATGCAGGACTTTTACAACAGTGTCTTGGTCTTTCCGAACTTTCTATGAGAAGGTAATGCATTAAATGAACGTGCAATTCTAATCTTGGTTCATTCTATTATTTTAATTTTCTGTCATCCATTTTGATATGTCTTTAGTAGTTCAACTTCATCTATAGGGCTAAACAATGAGCAATTCTTCATAATGATTGAAAGCTGTTCTATCAATCTCAGGGCTCTCTGTTAAGGAAACTATTTTGTTGATATTTAAGCAAAAATTTCAGAAAACTGTTTGCATAAAATTTAGATCAGCATATTTTTCGTTATGAGGTCTCAAAAACATAATTTCTTGTTGGTAGGTTTCTGCAATACCATGTTTTACATTTTATGTATTTTGTTATACATGCATTAGATAGATGTTCATTATAATTTGTTATCTACTATATGTTAATATTTGTAAGTATGTAAATTCTTATATGTGGAGGTTTAATATCTGAGACCCTGGCAAATCTATATTTACAGCAGCAAGAACAATGACAGCCACAATGGTGACAACGACAAGCAGTAATGTCCCAAGTCCCAACTATCATGGCAGTTGGGACATTGGGGCTTGTTGCTTTTGTATATTTTCAAGGAATCACGTGCCTGTGCAATAGTTTCATTTTTGTTATTTGAAAAAGGTTGACGACACTTGCTAAAGCTGAAAATGGTCAATTTGGAAGTCTTATTTTGTGCTTCTCAATGGTCATATGCCATATGGTATGTGCACAGTTTAGGATAGGAGTGTATCTGTAGACATAAGCTCATAAAGTAAATATGGTTTCTCACAGTTCTAATTTATTCACTCGAGGGCTTTCACATCAAATCTTTAGTCCTCCTGCATCTTTTTTATGCCCATCTTTTACTATAGTAATTAAAAATGTTTCTTCAAGTTTTTAGCCCATGGCTACAGGCATTGTGTTTCAGAATTTCAAGTAATCTTTAAATTAAGGAAATCATTATCAAGTTGATGTACAATGAGTCAGTTGCCTAGTTTAAGTTTTATGATGAGGATCGGTGCTGCATAAATCTTCAGCAATGAGTACTAGCATGGTTATGTTAAATTATCTTGTTTCTTGTACCATTGATAACAATCATGGGATTTTATGTTGGCGTTTAATGCTATTTGTTCTTATCTATATGCATGTACCAATTTTTTTCAGTTTGTTGAGTTTGTTTTATCTGCATCATTTTTTCTTGTTTAACCTTACCATATACAGGTGCTCCTTGAGTATGAGAAGCATAAGTCCCGAACTGGTCAACGTAAAAATCCCTTTATACATCTTCCATCATTTATGAGGTTTGAAAATCAGGTACTATTTTTTTTTTCAGCTCTTCTCTGTATGTAAAAGTTGTACTGTTAAACCTATGAAAAAGGAATATTTGTGCATATTTTTACCGTCCTTGGGACCTGAAAGAGAGCAAGTATTATATACAAGATTCATGCATATTTTAAATCACAAGTCATATTCAATTCATTTAATTATTTTGACATGGTTTATGTCAAACATGTAACAAATGCATGTCAGTTGATGAATAGTGGACAACAAAACATGTAAAAGATAGAACACTGTGATTTTGTGAAGTACTAAAGGGTAAATGAAGTGGACAAACCTCTTAAGAAAAATAATAAAATCAGGTACTAGTTTTTGGAGACTAGTACAATACATTCAAAAAAGCAACACAAGCACAATATGGATTGCATCACTTAATTATCAAACTTCTGAACAAATAGTCAAAATTTTCAATCATATTCGTCAAATGACCCTAACTATAATTTCAAAGTGCTAAAGTTGAGACAAATGATCTCATATTGTAGATTTAGGAAACAATTCTCATTTGGTGTCACAACATTACTGATATTCTTGAAGGCTATAGTGAAGTTAGTATCAAATTCTCAGTCATATCCCTCTAATGAGCACAATTGTAATCTCAAATTGCTAAATTGTGACAAATAATTTTACCAAGTAAATTTAAGATAAAATTTCAATTTGGTTTAATGCTGTTAGTGAAATATTTTAAGTCTCTTATAGTGGAGATAGTATCAACAGTTTCAATTTCATAACTTAAAGAATTTTGGGAAAGAACTTGACTAATGGGAGAATATGCAAATTAGTAAATGAGAATGTATCAAAGGTCTTTTAAAATACTAGGTATATATATCTCCAATTTTGTGATTTAAAAGATGCCTATAAGCAAAAGTGGATCGATGAGCTTAGCATGGTTGAGTTTGTTTCAGAATTTTTTTGGTTATCAGAATAAATAGATTTAATTTAATCAAATCCTATCACACAGCTATACTTAATTGACCTCTGCTTGAACTATTTGATAATTTAATTGGGCTAGGATGAAAGGATAATTTGAATTAAATTGATAGCTGATTTTGGAAACTGTATTTGAGATATCAGCATTTCAGGTGGATAAAACTACACAATAACAGTTAATGCATATTTACTACTATGAGCTAATTGAGGTCCATGTCAAAAGGAAGAAAACTTAATTGCTTATTACCCAGTGGTTTTGTTATACGCAAAATGATGAACCAACACATGAACTCTGTTTTACAGGCCAGAGTTTGTATTACTAATTTTGGATGTATATATAAGAAAAATTGATTTAGAAAACTACAATTTTGAAGCCAAAGTTCATGTTGTATGTAACAAGTTTAAAGATAGCATCCATGATTTTTCTGATTAGCTGTCTCAATTTCAGTGATCTAATTCAAATACTTAAGTAAGATCTAAAGATGAATCCAAGTCATTAAAGAGTGACAAAATTCACTCTGAGAGTAACATAACCTTCTAGAAAATATTACTCTCTAAGGTAATATATGTCTTACACCTTTTCTTTTGTAGGATGGGAATTCATCTATTCTGAGGGAGGATGAACAAGGTAAAAGCATTGGTATGTTTTCTACAACCCTTTTAATTAACTAAAAAAATCATTATTTACTTATTTTTTAGACTTTGTGTAGGCCCGTTTAAGAGGAGAAAACCTTACCAAGAGCATGCAGCAAAAGTTGTGAAAACACTTGTTAATCCACGGTTAAGTCTGTTTTTCAAATATTCATACCATTTCTTTCTCAATATGACTTTTGTTATGTATATGACTTCACAAGGATTTGAAGTTTTTTGTGTATTAAATGTAGAATTGTGAATGCTAGAAACTATCCAGTACTTTTCAAGTGTACTTTGTCTTGGCAAAATTTTAGAGAACCTGAAAAGACCCTCAGGCTTTCCTTTTGCTGATCTGAATTGGTTTCTCTGATTGTTAACTACTTTCAAATACAAAAAAAAATTCCCTTTTGTGTGGTATATTTCATTTTGAATTCCTTAAATGGTTTTAATTGTTTTACAGTTTTCAATTATTGGTATCAAATGAAGATAATGAAGGTACTCAACATTTAGGGGTTTGTCTTTGTAGTTGAGCCTATTCACTTTTTCAAGCAAGCACACACGCTCAGTCTTAACACTGGGTAGTTCCATTTCTTGGGTCGTCGATGTCTCAAAGATTGCACATAATATGATGCTTTATGGTGAGAATCATGTTAGAGGTTTCTGTCATATCTTATATGGACAAACCTGATCACATTGTCTTTGCAGCAACCATACGAATTACCAACATCACAGCCTTTCTAGTTCCACCCTTTTTGTGTCATCCCATTTGACAGCTGATAGCAATAAGTAAATATTAACTACCATGCAACCAGTACCCAGATAGCTTCACACTCGGACAACCTGACATTTGAAGTTGAGATTTTTATATATTTTTTTTCAAGGTTTTGCTTCTACAATTTGTATACATTGTCGTGAAAAGTAGCTGATTTTCATGCTGTACTATATAAGACCTCTAAGAATGTTTGGTTTGAGGTTGAACTTTGAAGTAGGTTAAGTTATTTTGACCTGTCTGAGCTATACCCTTCGAAGTGATACCTGAATACCAAAATCCCACATCAACATTCATCAACTTATACAAATCCTAGTTTCAGATTTCTGAGGGATAAGGTTTTATGAATTTGGTGGAAGAAACTTGAAAGAAAGGAAATTTTTGTTTTAAAAAAAGGACAGACAAGGCAAAGTCAAAAAAGAAAAGTGTGAATACAAAACATGTGTTGAGAATAGAGGAAGAAAAATGACAGGAGAGTCATAAGAGAAAGATTAGCACATTCTGTTGGGTCCTGATAAAAACTTGTTTGTTGTAAATGACCAATGCTAATTTTCTATTGCCAATAAGTAGAAAACAGTAGTTGCAGCATCTTTGTGAAAATTTTAATGGCTATCTTTTTTTTTTCTGTTAGCGATATGATAGTTTACTTTTTAGAGTTGATAAGAATGTGCTATATTCCACTATTATATCCTTTTAATTTGCTGGAATTTTGACATGAGCTCTTTCAGAGTCTTTTGGTTGCTTATTGTTCTTTGCTAGTAAATGATGACATGTTATGTTTTTAATGTGCAGAAAGACTGTAGAGGTTGCTGACTTTGGTGCCCCTGCTGACTGGGTTAAGATTAATGTGTTGCAATCTGTATGTTCATGCTACTAATTCATTTTTTTTTATCATTATTCCATTGCATGAACTTCTATTTGCAGTGATGAGATATTCAAAAGCAAAAAGCATTTGGAGCCATTGACTTTACTAAGTGCTTTGATTTTTATTTCCACAGAATGAGTGCTATGACGTGTATGTTCTGGTCCCAGGACTAATGATTGGAGAGGTAGATTATGCAGCCTGTTCTCATTGTTTATGAATCTTTTTTGTAGATTGATTATTTCTTCTAGCTTGTTTGCAAAATTACTTTTTGTTGTGGGGATGTTTGCCAATCCAATTTTGGGCACTAATAAACTCCTACGTGGCTGTTGTACATAGGTACATATTGAGTCGGATCGTACAGGTTTTTTGATCATTTCTGGTCAGCCTGAGCAGCACGATAATCCTTGGGGTATCACCCCCTTTAAGAAGGTGCTTCTGCACTTTATTTCCAGCAAAACAAAGTGGTTGATTTATTAACTAATTTATTGGCGAAAATTGTCTTCTTTTTTTTTTTCCAGGTCATAAACTTCCCTTTACCGATTGATCCGCATCATACTACTGCCGTGGCTTTCTTACATGGCCTGCTATTTGTTCGTGTACCGATTCAACGAAGAGTTGGATGGCACTGCGGAGTTTAGGGTTTATAAAGAGATGAGAATTTGGGGGGACTCATAACAATCGATCACTTACTACAGGTTTTGTCTCTGATCATGGCTAAATATTTTTCCAGTACTCCATTTTGTTATGAATGTCACATGCATTCCCAGTACATGCATTACTGCCTTCAACTCAATCGCTGAAATTTGATTCTTGGGCCGAGTTGAAGACGGAATGATGTTGATTTCTCGACTGCGTAGCTGTTAAGAGAGTCGATCTTCTTCAGGTTTTGGCTGCTTGTTATTTGGTCCTCGAAACAGTTTATTGCTCTCATATTCTGCATGACATTTATCCAGTATCTCAAGTACTCTATCTAATTCATGAAATAATCGAGTGCTGATGTATGAGTTTTGAATGTTTACCGCCTGCCATTAGATGCTAAAGTTGGGATTGACTCGTTTAGAAGGAGCTGTCGCCTCCCTCGTTCCAATCTGAACATGTGGCTGGTCCCAGCCATTGGTGTCCAATCCCCTACTGAAGTCGCTGAATCCTGCGTTGTTTAGATATTTGTCCGGTAAAAGGATTTCGATGAGAAGATCGATTGGTACAAGTCCGACAACCCATTGCACCATGCACTAATTTCCAATCAATTTAGTGCTCTTCTGAGAGTAGAGATTATTAGGATCCTCACGCGTGGTGTGATGGCAGTTCTCTCCGTAAAGAATGAAAGCTGACAGTAGGAGGACAGCTTTATTTAGGACCAACGCATTCTTTTGTTATCCTCGGTCTCGGTGACCGCACTCGTAAAGGCCAAAAGGGCAGACAGTAGGAGGAGCAGTTTTGGTCACACATACCTCTTAGCCGCCACAACTCGGAAAGATCAAATTTCTACAAAATATTAGCTGCGGTCACTTGGTGTGCTTACCAATTACGTCTTGGGCGCCCGAAAATATTAATAACGATGGAAGATGGCAATTTTCAATACCCTCATGCTCAATCGCGGTGAACAGATTTCAGTTGCCGGTTGATTCCCGCAACAGCTGATCCCTATAACAACAGGACGTGGAAGACGGAAGACAGTGCACAAGTCACTATTAATTCTCTTATAGTTTCTCTGGTCGTCGTCAATAAGTGTGATCAAATGTCACCTATTATTTCTGGTTGAATCGTATCACAAACTGAGATTCTATTTTATCTTAAGAACAGTTCATTTGAAATCTGCTGAGGTTTTGTAGACCAACGAGATTCTTAAAAGGACAACAACTGTAACGAGTGCTCTCCATTCAAAAAAAACTATTACATGAATATATGGCTCGCAATGCTATAATTATATGGGAAGAATAGGTTGTGGATACAAGAAAAGTACTTGGTAGATTTTGGGTGCGCTTACCGTCCTCTCGCTTCATGATCAACTGCCAAAATATATATATATATATCGGTGGAAAAATGGGTCAACTAACACGTTATTAAGTCTTACTTCTGGTATATATATATAGATATATACATTGCCTCAAGAAATGAAATTATCTCTTTCACAATAATTTTTTTACAAATAATTTTATATACCTTTTTAGCAATAAAAAAAATCTATTTGACTACAATTGTGATTATTCTTATAAGTAATTAAATGTCCGTCTCTTTTCTTAAAATGAGTATTTGCACCCATAAGATTATACAAAATTGTAAGATCCAAAATTATACCACTATCTTCATTTATCTTTTTATAAACAAAACCCACATATAGTATTCACCATATATTTTTCTTTAAGTTTTTTTATTATAGGCATTCCTCGAATGATATCATCTAAATTTTCTTAAAGTTCTCTTTTGACTTGATCATTCAATCCAATTTGAGGGGCATACATACTAATGACATTCAAAATATCTTATTTTTTATAAATTTTAGTACTATAACTTTATCTCTAATTTTTTTACATCTATAATATTATTCTTAGATCATTATATAAAATAATTCCTACATTATTTCTATATTTAACTTTTCAATATATCAAATTTTAAATTCAGTATTATTAATCTTTCTAGATTTTTCTCTTACCCATTTAATATCTTATAAGTAAATAATATTTATTCTTCTTCTAATCATAATATCTATCAATTATAATCCTTTACCAGTGACAGCACTTTTAAAGCACGAGGGTACACAACATCCAATATACAGCAAGCCGCCAAAACTTGGAAGGACCAAACTTTCTCTAAATATTTGTGGATACGATGATAAGACCTTTTCTCACACCTTGACATGATGAAGATTACTCTACTTGTCCAATCACTGACATCGATGTCGATAAATCACTAACTTGTCACAACAATTCTCTCTCTGATATAAGGAAGAAGAACTGGTTTTAAAGACTCCACGTCTCTATGCATGCTTGGATTAGGAGCGTTAACATGGTTGCAACCCACACTACAACAGACAACGAAGAAAGCAACGCACTACCACACGAGAAAACAAATCCCATGACTTCCGGTTTGCGAATCGAACGAAGCTTTGGCTGCAGCAGTTAATGGCGATATCGTCGTGATATGATGGTAAGACGAGGGAGGCTATCACTGCTTGTTGAAGCAATTAATGCTACTGTGGTTTAGTCTTCCCTTCCCTCTGTAATGGTTCCTCCGCGACTGCCGCCTCGAGTGACAGCACCGCCGCAGCTGCCTTTTCGATGGCCAACGCCACCTCTTTTCCCATGATGACCTCTACCACATTTTCCATCGCCACCGCCTTTTCCTTTCCCGTGCCCTTTGTTTACTCCTTTTACGTTACCAACTCCACCACCAGTACCATTACCGCCACCAGCACCACTGCCGCTTCCAGCTCCTCCGCGGCCATTGCCACTGCCACCACCATTTACGCTTCCTCCACCATTGCTACCGCCACTGCCACCACGTTTACCACCTCCGCAGCCGTTGCCACTGCCACCACCAATTCCGCTTCCTCCACCGCTGATGCCACCGCTGCCGCTTCCAGCTCCCCCCCGGCCATTGCCACTGCCACCACCATTTCCGCATCCTCCGCCTCCTCCACCACTGCTACCGCCGCTGCCACTACCTTTACCACCTCCGCTCCCGCTTCCAGCTCCTCCGTGGCCATTGTCACCGCCGCTTCCACTACCACCACGGCTTCCGCTTCCGCCGCCACCACCTCCGCCACCAATGCTGCTGCCGCTACCGCCTCTGCCTCTGCCACTACCACCACCACTACCCTTCCCGCCGCCGCCGCCGCCTCCATCATTGCCGCCACCTCCGCCGCCGCCGCCGTTACCACCCCCACCTCCTCCTCCCCCACCGCCACCACCACGACCCCGCCCCCATCCAAAACCTCCATTACCGCCACCCCCACCTCCTCCGCCATTATCACCAGAGCTGGCTCGGGTGTCAACCTTATAGTCCATGACACTGTTGCGGAGAAGTGCTTGATTTCGGAAAAGGTCAGTCATGGTGGTGTTCTCATGATGCGATGATGGCGGTTGCTCATCAGCACGAGCAGCAGCAGCGCATGGCATCAGAAGAGAGACGGCAGCTACAACGCTGAGTAATCCCCGGAAGAGGGTCCTCTGCAAGGCGAACGCCATTGTCTCATCATCTCATCGTCCTTACTCCCTGCGTATTTATACCCAGGAAGAGATCAGAGAAGCTGCGGTGTTAATGATTGAAAGAGCTGGGTGATGTGACGGCGGCGGTGGTGGTGCGGGAATGGGATTGAAGGAGGAATACATCGTTGCTTGCATTGCACTACTTCATCCACCAACGTGCATGCGCGTGGTGGGTGCCATGGGTGAACCCCTCTCGATCTTGATAGTGCCGCTCATGCGCTCTCTAGATTTTGGATCTGAAGATTAGCCCCACCATTTCTTGTTCTCGGCTTCTCTTTATCTCTTAGCCGTACAATTCCACTGCATCCATCGACTGCATTCAAGCATGATCACAACAAAAAACTGTCTGAGCTCAGTGATGAATCCATGAAATGCACCGCCCTCGGTTATCATGGATTACTACTCTGTAATGACCATTCTGTGGGGGCACACCACGTTTGGCGCGCACCTGTCTGTCTCTTCTTCTTCTTCTTCTTCTTGTTTTCCAAGAGAGAGATGGGAACAGGAGTCATGCGATTGATGATGATGACTGTAGTCTGCAGGTGTGATGATGACTCCATTTAGCTCCGAGTTGGAGTATGCAGAAAGAAACAAGGATGAGGGAGTCCACGTCAAAGGGTAGCAGCTGTAATAGGAAATTTATGGCAATGAAATCCAAAAGTCTGGATCTTTATTTCCTTTCCATATGTTACCAAACAATCCACATTTGGACAACCAAGATTGCCAGCGTGAGCAAGAGGATCTACGGGCTGCCTGTCTACTTCAAGAGGCTGATATATTGAAACCAATTTAAGCATAAATTTAAACGAAAGGCAATCACTCGAAAGAAGTTGTTCTATCCTACGGAAAAAAAAAGTTTTGGAAAACAATTAAATGATATAAAACGAATGTTCTATTCCACCTACTACTAATACCTGTTGGAAAATAATTAAGGGTAAAAGGGACATGTTAATGCATTCAAGTTAAAGTTTTCTTCGATAAAGCTTCTTCAATAATCCTTATTACCTTTTATTCTCTTATCTTCTTTTCTTTCTATCATGGTATCAGAGCTTTCATCGTAAAAGTCACTTTTAAACATCTCGAAGTAGACCCATCTCCCCGTCGGACTCCACCGACTGTGACTCTATCTCAAAGTAATGCAACGTTTTCCATAGACGTCCTCCAGGATTGTTGCGTCGGCCTCCTTCGAAGCTGAACAAGGGCCACCACACCGCCCCCTCTTCTCCTCTTTGTGCTGACGATATTCTTTACTGTCGCTCTTCCTCTGCCTCTACCTGTAGAAGCAGAGTCGACGCAGCCTCGCAACTGCTCCTCGGCCAGCGATCTCTCCTCCTTGTTCTAACATCTCGCTTGAGCGAGAAGTGTCGTTGCCGTAGCAGCCCTCTCTGCCGTAACAGTTACAGCAGTGATTTGCTCTTCTCCCAAGCAGATAAGATTTTTCAAAAGAAAATCTCTCTATTATATTGAGGAAAATTCTTCTTATCTTCTATTCTTTCTATCAATAATAATCTCACTTTGTTTTAGCTAAAAATTTGAAGTTGTGCAGCATAACGACAAACTATATATCGACGAGTCCCCAAATATAAGCATGAAAAAGTTAACCTCATCAGACACCAAAGTCACAGATTGACATCGGTTATAAGAGTAGGCCGAGGAGGTAACGGAGAGCTGCTCCATATGGAACCTGCAGAGAGGAAGGAAAAGATAACTTGATTTCTTCCGACACAAAGGTAGATTAAACCAAATATTATTGTTCGGGAGTGACGGCTTACAATACCAGTAGATGTATGATTTCATGAATATGATGGAGCAGTACAAGTATTTAAATGAATGAGAAAGCCAACAACAGAACAATCTAAGAAAATTGTAGCCACCGCCGTGTCCTTATTTAATTATTAAGCTGAAAGCAAAAAGTTGAGGGATCGAGGCATTTGTTAGAAACTAATGAGTCTCGTCGGTAAACATACATCACACTTAAACATCAGTTCAAAAATTTACGCTTGTTTAGTTACGACGACACCATGAATATATACACAAGAACATAGAGTCGATCGTGATTCCAAAATTGATGATTTTAGTTTTCCAAAATCTAGAATCATAATCAAACTAATAAAAGTCGATTTCGATTCAATCAATTTTGATAACCAAATTTTTTTAATTAAAATAATTTATAATATGATAAAATTATAATTTTATTTTTAAAATTAAAAAAATAGATGTTCAACTATAATGAGTGTAAATGTGTAATGATATTAAAAGAGTCATTATAAAATTAAATAAAATTATAAATATCCAATCGCTTTCAATGTCGAATATTTTGATCATTCATTCGATTGATTTGTCGAATAAGATGTTATTATCTTGATGAATAATCTCTTCGCTTGATTTTGTTTTATTGTCTTTATTCAATCATCGATGTATGATTGAGTTTCGACTGATTTGGGGATCATGCTCGATGTAGTTTTATTTAGAATCTATCTACTTGTGTTAAAAGTTTATTCCACAACTACCATCGACACTAGAATTACTAGTATTTACCTTTCATCATCAAAATTGAAAATATATTGTTTATCATATCCACCATTCTAGAATAAGAAACTTCATACCTATAGTACTATCACCAAACTCAAAAACATATCAAACTTGGAGTTCAAGTCCGATGATCCCCTTAATTTTATTATTATTATAATAATAGATTTACACCCTTGAAGATTTTACAACTCCCGCTAACTTGATCGATAGACATAGAAGTTTCAGATGTATAATGCTCTCTACTATAGTTAACACTATAATGAACATATAAGTTAATGCCCAATCTTTTTATTTCTTTAATTTTATCACCAATATAACATCTACTCCTAAACTTTCATAATAAGTGGTTAAATAATTATTGAAGCTATATAATCTAGGGCGTGAGGATCAAAAACACATGCAACTAAATAAATTAGTAGAATCTTTTTTAAAATAAATTGTTCACTTTGATTTTATAGCCATTATAATCACATTCAAATCATTATCATATTAATATTCTTCTAAAGCTCTAACAACATTAATATATACAAGCAAAAATATATGGGTAATAGGATAATAAACATTAGATGAAGTATATGTTGCATTATTAAAATTTCTTAAAATTTCTAATTTTTTTTACGCAATGAATATAAACTTACCTAATATTATTTGTAATATTAAAAGTACATAATTATTTTTTATATTCAAAAAATTCTTTAAGTAATTCATAGAATTACATCGGGTATGAACATCCTAGGAAATCTTTTGAATATTTTGTTATTTAATTTATAAAATTTGGCCCACCCTTTCATTACTTGTGAATGACTCATAAGAATGAAATAATTTACTTAATGAGAGGAGAAATAGTTTATAAAGATCTAAGACCTTCTTGTATGCATAAATCCAAAACATACCAAACACATCTAATGTGAAAAAAGATACCACTAAAAACAGGTTGACATCAGTTGTGGAATAGAAGTAGTATTTGCCACTACATTATATCAACCAATAGAAAATATTTTAAAAATTAAATAATATTTTTAAATTATTTTTATTATTCTATAAATATTATTGATTGTATGTCATTCATCAAAAATTTTAAAAGTAATAATTTATTTATTTTTTGAATGGTTCAATTATTATCAATTGAATCACACGTGATTCTTATATAAGAATACATTTCTTAGTAATCACTCTAAATATCAATGCGAATATAAATACAATCATTAAAAAATTAAAAAAAATTATAAATCTTTTTTTTGTTATAGGGATTATGTACAATACGAGTATAAGTAATTTGAGGAACTCTTTGGTTGGTGGGATTCAAAGCCTCTCGACAATAATCAACAAAATTGATATTTTCATCGAAACTAAAAGATAAATATTTAGCAAAAATTAATCTAGCCAATATTTCATAATTTTTTTCAATAAAAAGATAAAAAGTGGGATTAGTAATGTACCTAAAAATTGATGTTTGAGTTTTTTTCATATCGATTGTGTTGAACAATTCTTCATAATATACTTTTCGAAAGTTATATACCCTCTTCCTTTGAATTTAAAATTTTAGTTACGATAGTTGCATATGACATATATAAGATGTCCGACTTGACTTTGGTAGCCATATTGATTTCATTTGACTTGATGTTAATGTGTTGACTTTCTTGAGTTGTCATAGTTGGATTTTCAAAAGCTTCCACAATAACAAAGTGGTGACTTCCACTTACTATAGAAATAATAGAGTTTAAGAGAGCGTATGAGAGTTTAACACTGTTCAAAAAGTACTTAATCAAAGTGTGAGGAAGAATGAGGGGTTCGAAGGAGTATTTATAAGGGTTTTAAATTTTTTCTTAAAAACCCTGAAAACTAATTATTATTTAGCTATTAGAATGAGCAAATATTTTTTTTCTTAGTTTTTACATTTTTAAATTATAAATAATATTTTTTTTGAAAATAATTGTTAATATGACTATTGGGAGAGGTAAACCGGTCATTTGACTCTCCGCTAATCGTTGGGTTAGGTTTGGATCATTAGGCTCAATCATTTGATCGCTCATTTTTATTTTTATTTTTTTTAAATCATCGAAGGGACGATTTAAATAGAAATCATCGATTTTAGTTCTTAAATTATTAGTTTCGAAATTGACAATCTTGATTTTGGTCCGATTCGATTTCGATTGGAACCACCGAACCAATCCATGCTCGAAAGAAAGTCTTCCCTCGTTCCAACATCGCACAGGAGAGTGCTACAGGCGGCTTATAACAATTGCTGGATGACTTCTTATCTCCATGGAATCATTATCCCTCTCTCCAAGGATGCTTGGAATTATACTCTTAGACCTAATTCGGCTCTACATACATGTCAAAGGCATAGAAAAAGAAGCCTGCTGATGAATAACAACTGAGAGAGAACCAACCATGGTGCTTCCCCTGTTGCTATGGGTAGGTAAGCAGAATAATTTTCACCAGTGACGATAAAGAGAGAGGTCACCTGTTGCTGTATGGCGGTAGGTGAGCAGAATACATTTCACCGGAGCCGATAAAGAGAGGTCAACTATATGGTTCGATGCCATGGTTGGGAAAACCATCATCAACTGCCTGCGGTTTTGAGACCCGGACAAGGGCGTCATACGGTAAGCTCACCGTCGTAAGAGTAGAACGCCATCTATTCTATCCTTTTGATGGGCTGTTTGCTTTTAAAACGGGTATGCAGTCTCGTCTGGGCCCGGTCCGGCCCGGCCCATTCAAAACGACTTAAGCAATCAGAATCTGACAAGTCAGCAGGGTATATTATAATCCATCTGCTATCCCTGGTTCTGATCCCAGTTTTGGAACAGCAAATCCAATCCCTCTCGCGAAACCCAACGCTGTCTCATCGCCAAGGGGGAAGGGTATTTTCGTCAAACACCAGTGCGGCGCGCAGACCGTGGCAGGCAATGAAGTCGCGAAACCGGTGGCGGCGTCGCGACTCGTTTCGTGCCATCGCCCGCGGTTAGTGTTACCTCGTCCCCGCGACTCACTCTTCTCTCCTCCACGTCGTACATGACGACAATTATATATACACTGACGCAATGCGGAAGGATATTAAAAAGGATTCCTACACGCACAGACAGGGCAAAGGAAGCAAACGAGAAGGGGCAGAAGATTGCAAGGTGAAGGAAAGGTATGGAGTCGGATTTCGGCGTTCCTCGGGAGCTATCGGAGCTCCAGAAGAAGCGAGCAGAGTACCACCCTGAGCTCCCTCCCTGTCTCCAGGTCTCTCTCCGTCCTCTTCTACTGCTATTACGACCAGTTTTCTTCTTGCCTTTTTGGAGAGGGTTGACGACGTTTCCTTTCGTTTCTTCTTCCGTTGCGAGTCTGCTCGATGTTTGCTCGATGGCGGATTGTGTCCCTTTCGCCTTTGGGGGATCGAAAGGGTACTACAAGATAAGATACTTAAGGGGTTAAATTCGTTGTGGAGTTTGATGCAATTCCTTTCCCCACTCTTTTTCAGTGGCTCATCCGCGGGTAATAATAGGTGCAAATTGAGTAAACCCTTCCATTAGCTGGTCTATTGGGATGATCGAGCTCGAAGATGATATTTTTCTTCAAATCAGTTTAATTCTAATCATGATTTCATCTACCCTATATTCTGCTTATGAGGAAATGTCTTAGCTGCTTCATGAATCTGGCAGAATATGTGTAATAGTGCTTAATTTGGGTTCCTCCTGCACTATATATTCGATCTTTTTTGCCTGTTCTGGGATCTTCATGTGGATTACATGTGCTTCCTTTGTTGGATCAAGTCCGTAAACTCGTCTGTTTCCTCTATGGTGAACAGGGCACTACGGTGAGGGTAGAGTTTGGCGATTCGACAACCTGTGCAGATCCATCTAGTGAACATGTCATCGGTCGGGCGTTTCCGCACACATTTGGTCAGCCATTAGCTCATTTCTTGAGGGCCACAGCCAAGGTGCCTGATGCCCAGATCATTACGGAGCATCCCCCTATGAGGTTCGTGAATATGAGCTCTTCTACAGTATGCTTAGTGTGCAACATTTTCTTGATTAATATCTGTAGATACAAGTTTGAACCATACACAGAAATCTACATCGAAAAGCTATCCTATAACATTAATGCAAACATAGGATGGAAGATACACACTACTTTTCCTGTCAATTTCCTCAGGTCTGAGAATCATTGGACTTTCCCCATTTAAGTAGCGGCATGCCATATTGATGTCATCTTCTTTTTCCCATCTTCTTTTTCCCAAAAACTTAAGTGGTTAGGACAAGGCTCCATCTATACTGTTAATTTTTATTGTCCCTTTTTTTGGCATGGGCTTGTATTACTCTTCAAGTTATGAAGTTGAGTTGCTCATGTTTCTTCATCTGATCTCTCTTGTTGATGCATTCATTGTTCCACATGACGAAATGCAGGGTTGGTGTGGTATTTTGTGGAAGGCAATCACCAGGAGGACATAACGTTGTATGGGGCCTTTATAGTGCTATTAAAATTCACAACCCTGACAGTATTTTGCTTGGTTTTGTTGGTAAGCATTTCTCATCATGAAGCATTCCTTTTCTACAGTGTCTACGTCAAGAAACATTTTTTGCAAGCAAATTCAAATTCATCACTCAGCTATACAGAAAAAAGAAATGTATGTTCACTTATCAACGGAGGATTTCAACACCTATTCATAACATATTCCAGCCAGTCGGTGGTACAGCATGGACTGGCTTTGTTGGACAAAGTGGTTGTTAGCACAAAAGAGGGAGAAAGAAAGAAAGGGCATGAAATTGGGGATAAATAACATGTGCAATTTGGGGTTGGTCCTCATTCCGGTTTTCATGCATGTAATTTTATGTGGTGTGCACATAAGTTGTGCTTCTCATGAACCATACATTTCGGACATACCTGGTACTTCAGATGGATGAATATAGGTAGTGGCCTTTACTGATCCTTGTTAATTTAAATTGTTTAATTCTCGACAAGAAAGCAACTTGTGAAGTTTTCCTGTCTTTTTGTTTTGAAATGAAAGTTCCTGTCTGTGATCCTCAAATTTGTTTGTGCTGTTTCTTAACTTATTCTGATTCATTTAGCTGTTGTCCGTCTATAAGCAGTTACTGTGAGTATGAGGCCAGGCTTTCTAGGTTAATTTATATGAATTATAAGCTAATGGCTTCTCAGTTGAGATAAATACAAACCAAACTCCTTTTCCATCACTTTGATACAGGTGGCACTGAAGGTCTATTTGCACAGAGAACTCTGGAAATCACAGATGAGGTTCTTGCTACTTATAAAAATCAAGGTGTGCAAAAACTTAGCTACATTATCTTATTTTCATCTTATTAAGCTCATCGATCGTTATGATCTGAAGAAGCTGTTTGTTGTTTTGAAGGTGGCTATGATTTGCTAGGCCGGACTGTGGATCAAATCAGAACAACTGAGCAAGTAAATGCTGCTTTGACTGCTTGCCGAGATCTGAAATTGGATGGTCTTGTCATTGTTGGAGGTACTTGATGATTCCACGGAAGACTTCTAGTATCTTTTCAGATTTGTGTGTATACCTTCTTACTAAATCCTTATTGCTTATGTCACAAGGAGTCACATCCAACTCAGATGCTGCTCAGCTTGCAGAAACATTTGCTGAGGCCAAATGTCCAACAAAGGTACCTCTGGTTTCCATATATTATTATTTTTTACATTCATTTGTTGTTGAATGACTCAATCCATATACAAATTGACTATATTCCTTTTTGGTGACCAGACATCTAAATGATAACATTTTACACAAAATTTATATAAAGTGTTTTCTTTTCTCCATCTATGCTTATATTGGTTTCTTCCAATGATTTACAAACATAGAATGTGAACAGGTGGTTGGCGTCCCTGTTACTTTTTATGGGGATCTTAAGAATCAGTTTGTTGAGACCGATGTTGGATTCGACACTGTTTGCAGGGTAAGCCTCATGTAAGCTCATAACAAATGTGTGGTTCAATCTTCACAATTTGATGCTTATTATGCTACTTCTCAATTCCAGGTTAATTCGCAACTAATAAGCAATGTCTGCATTGATGCACTGTCTGCAGAGAAGGTAAGAATGATCTTACAGCCTTAGAAAAGGAGAAAAAAAGGGATAGCATATCTATTAGTTATGATAATGAAATAACTTGGTTGACTTAGGCTTTTAGCAAGACCAGATAGGAACCTATTGTGGTTAAAAAAATTAAAAGAAACAAAAAAGAACTGGTTTTTCCTTTTGGTATTAAAACCTTTTGATATGTGTTGCTCTGATACATGATGGAAATTGTTGGCACTTATTGCTGGTGCTCATGCAGTTAATCATTTTTTAACCAAATATTATTTTTACTTGAAAAGACACAAGTGACTTTTAGTCAGAAAATATTTGCTTGAAATGTACAACATTTCAATTATGTAATAAGAATATTTGCCTTTTAGATACTTTTATCAACTAATGGACTCTGCTGCAGTATTATTATTTCATTCGCCTGATGGGACGCAAAGCTTCTCATGTGGCTTTAGAGTGTGCACTTCAGAGTCATCCGAATATGGTTTGTCCCCATAAGAAATTCTGTTCTTGTTGGCTTATTTAATAATGATTAGTAAGGAAATTTTTTTATTGCCGAGGAGAGATGCATGCAGGCTTTTGTTCTAATAGTGCTATATATTCATTTGATTTATCCATTGTCAGCTCATCTTGGGAGAGGAGGTGGCCTTGTCAAAACTTACCATTTTTGACATTACAAAGCAAATTTGTGATGCAGTTCAAGTCAGGGCAGAGAAAGGTGGGACTATTTTAATATGCTTTGGTTATTGGCTAATATGTCCTATTCTGATAACTCACATTTTTTTCTCCAGAGAAGTACCATGGTGTCATTCTCATTCCTGAGGGTCTCATAGAGAGCATTCCAGAATTGTATGCTCTTCTACAGGTAGTTCCTTGTTCCTACAATAAACAACATCCTCACCAACATCTATAGAAATAATCACCACATGGAAAACTTGTAGTTTATTTGAACATGCTCCAGAATTTTATGATATTTGGCTGTGACTGTTCCAGGAAATTCACGGTCTCCACAACCAAGGCATTTTAACTGAAAATATTTCTTCTCATCTTTCACCTTGGGCATCTGCGTTGTTTGAATTTTTGCCACCCTTTATTAGGAAACAGGTTCTTCCTACTTCTTTAATTAAATGAGAGCAAATTGTTTGTGTTCTTAATCTTACCATAAGAAATTCTTAAATGCAGCTGCTGCTTCATCCAGAATCTGATGACTCTGCCCAGTTGTCCCAGGTACATCTTATTATATGTGGAAACAAGAAAAGGTTCCTATTAATGTTTTCTTATTTAACCCTAATGATTCTTTTCTGCAGATTGAAACAGAGAAGCTCTTTGCACAGTTAGTTGAAACAGAAATGAACAGAAGGATGGTAAGTCAACTTCTACAGTTGATGGTGGCATAGTTTCAAGAACTTCCCATTAAGCGAATGTCACTTGGCTGATGATATTACAAGTTGCACTGATAATTCACATCAGTATATTAGTTGTTTATTCCTTAATTTAGTATGAGCTCCTTTGCCGTTGTGATTTTAACTTGAAAGTATTAAATGGTTCTTATTCTTCCAGAAAGAAGGCATATATAAAGGGAAGAAATTCAATGCCATCTGCCATTTCTTTGGGTATCAAGCTCGTGGATCTTTACCATCAAAATTCGACTGCGACTATGCATATGTATGTGCCAACTTGTGTGTTTTGCTTTTTTTCCTCCATTTTTTTTGGTTATATGATTCAACAAATATTTTTTCTTGACATACAGGTTCTTGGACACATCTGCTATCATATCCTAGCAGCGGGTTTAAATGGATACATGGCCACTATAACAAACTTGAAACATCCTGTGAACAAATGGCGCTGTGGTGCTGCACCACTTACGGTATGATCTTCATTGTTTGCAATCCTTGCATGTCGAAAACATCAATTATTTATGTAGATCAAATTGAATAAATAATTTGGTTTCACTTAGGCAATGATGACTGTGAAGCGATATTCTCGTGGACCTGGAGCCACTCCTATTGGAAAACCTGCCATCCATCCCTCTACGGTGGACTTGAAAGGAAAAGTTTACGAGTATGTTTCAAAGATCGCACCTTGATGTCCCTAAGTTGCATTAGTTTGCATTTCAACCAAACAAGGTCAAAGTACTCAAGTAGCTCTATCAGAAATCTATACAATCATCGTGAATAACTGATCATCGTTATCTCACATTACACTCTTATAGATGTTATACTGAAATTTGTCAAGGATTGGCAGTAAATTTGGTCCATCTGACAATTGGAGTGTGATTTTCTAATCTTTCAGTGATAGAGCTACACAACTACCTTTTGTAATCTACTTCAACCGTCTGGTATCTTCTTGCCTCTTGTTTCAGGTTGTTGAGACAGAAGGCTTTGAGCTTTTTGATGGATGACTTGTACAGAAACCCAGGACCACTTCAATTTGAAGGACCGGGAGCTGATGTTAAGACCTACACACTCTCTGTTGAGGATCAAGATTACATGGGCCGAATAAAGAAGCTCCAGGAATACCTAGATAAGGTTCGCGTTATGATTACAATTGCGTCCGTTTTCTCTTCCGAGTTGATATGTTCCTAACAAGTGACATTTTTCATACCAACCGAAACCACTATGACATATATATTAGTGGGTTTTGTGAATTTATTTCAGTTTTCATTTTCTTGATCCCATTTATGTGCAACATTCAATTTTTCCTTCAATAAAGCTATATCAATAAAGCAGTCTCTTACAAACTTGAAGTAACATCAGAGCCGATAATGTTGTTTCCGGAAATGAATTACAACATTTCTTCAACCATCATGTTGCTTAATGCATTTCACATCATTTATCATTTCACTTTGCAATGACTTCTACATGCTTCAAGGCTTTCTTTAGTTAATTATCTCAATAATCACATTCCTACTGGAATTTCCACAATTATCAACTGTCACATGGCCACATCTCATCATGTCATTCTATGGTTGGCTTTCGTTATATGCAGGTGAAGAGCATCGTGAAGCCTGGGTGTTCACAAGATGTTCTCAAGGCTGCTCTGAGTTCCATGGCTTCTGTAACTGAAGTACTATCGGTAATGTCGACTCCATCATTTGGTGGCCGTTATCAGCCACTTTAACTTCGAGGCCAAACTTTCCTGGACGTTTTGGTATATAGATATGTGTTATCTCAGGCTTCTGTTAATTCTGGTGACGGTCCTTTGTGTCCATGAGTTCTGTTGTCGTGCAATAAGAATATGAAACCTGTTATTTCAGCTGAAACAACTGAGAGTTAGAATGTTTGTTACTTGGGATCGTTGACTGCTTGTACATATGATCTAAATAATGATGCATTTTGGGTTGCACAGCTTGAGACTTGTGTTCTGGTGGAAATCACCTGTTTTTGTCAACACCATCGCGAATCTTTTGTGCTCTCAGCATTGACGATCATCATCAATTTTCTTTGGCAGGTGTGCCAACGTATGGACAACCTTGATGCCAGGTATCAGCAAAAGAATCTGTATGAGCATTATTGGCAAAATGGAGTCTTAAGAACAGGAACTTTGCCAGTTGAAGCACCAGATTCAGAGAGGATGGAAAAGAAATCCCACTTAGATTACAAATCCTCCCAAAAGACCATCAAAATGATGTACAATTTTCCCTGACAACACACCATTTAGTGGCTGCTCGTGTTTTCTTTGGAATACGCATTTGTCTTGCGCTGTGCGTCTTGCCGATGCTGCAGATTCTTAAATACTCCCAAAAATTCACAAATTTTCATTAAAAATAAATTATGAGCACCAAGTCATGATATCTTTCTTGTTCTCCTACCTCAAACAAGTTAAGCAGAAGTTGACAGACCCGAGCAACTGATCCAAGGACAGGACTCCTGCTCGAGGCATTTCGTCGAACACTTGGCAAATCGTGTCAAAGTCGGTCCCGTTTCGCGACTGCACCATCAGCAGCTATGAGCACGGAGGACTGCTTGATGAACACCAAGCAATCTGCAATTGCCTCCGCATAGAAGGAACGAGTTCAACGTGCCCATCAGCTGCATCCCGCGATCAGCTTTTCTCGACACCAGCGGCCGTCTACCGTTGTTTCTGCCGCAGCGCTGCCTTCCCCCTTCTTCTCTTCAGCAGACGCACCCATCGAACTAAGAAACCCAATACTCAACAACCTCACGCAGCAGCTCAGCGGGAAACCTCCATGCCATCTCCCGCATGGCCTCGCATACCTAGTTCGACCCATCGGTGGACATGCTCTAATACATGGCTGCGTTATATATCCTCCATCTTCTTTAACGGTGATGATATCCTCACGACTTACATCGTATCACCAACAATATTTCTAAAAATTACGTTAGGATTCTTATAGTTACAAAAATAAAATATTTAACATTATTTTTTTCATATACTCTGTTAACGAAAATACTATATGTGCTCAGTGATAAACTTTATAATATTTCTGTCGACAAAATCAATAACATTAAAAGAAACAAGACTAAATATTTTATTTTTATAAATATATATATCTTAATATAATTTTTAAAAATATAAAAATCAAAATACTAAAGATAATTAATCACATGAGATAATATGTAATTAGCATCCTTTAGACACATAAGTGTTCAAACAGGAATCTCAAACTGTCTGGTGATATCTCGCTCACCTGCCATAGCATCTCTGCTTAAACCAAGCTTAATATAATATGGAACTGGTAAGGCTTACGTGTCTATATATCTTTGCAATTAATTTCTCATCGGGCTGTATTCTCTCTCCTCCCTGCACATCAAGAAGGCCAGGCAGTTAATGTACAGCAGATTACCCTCTTCCATGCATCAGTGTACTTTCTTTGGAGATTTCGTATAGACCTCTTCTTCATAATAGAGACCACATCATTAATTATTCTTATACTAAAAACGTAGTTGCTACAAGCTTTGGAGGAAAAAGCTGCTTAGACGCCTAACAAATGAATTATGCAGCTGCATATAACATACATTTTAATTGCAATCAGCACCAGATTGTACCAATGTGCAGAAGCCAATCATCATCAAGCCTTGATATATAACGGCAACAGGGAGGAGCCTAAGAACACGCAACTGCAGGTTTCGGGGCTAATCATCTGAGGCTGTGCAGATGAAAATTGCGCAACGGATTGACTTTGAGCATTTCTGTTTCGCTGTTCAAGACAAAAGGCATAGATGATCAAGCCAGCAACCTGAATAACAATGTATGTGGGAATCATCAAAATTTGGCTACTGCTTACTTCTTTAGGTTTTGGCTAGTTGCTTGCCGAAGTTTCAGTACCGAAGAATTCAGATTCTTGGCAACCTTAGCTGGGGGTGATCTGATGCAAATACAAAAGTGTGAATACATTAGCTAGGAAACAGTTGCTCCATCCGCATGGAAGATAGTGTAATATGAATGAGAAGCTTGATATCTGATAAGGATATGGAAATTTGAAACTGTCATTACAGTGAGTGCGGATGAATTCTAATTAAACTATTTCAGATTGTAAAATGGACTGAACTTAGTCAAATTTTGCTAGTCAATTGCATAATATATAAAAATCAGCAGATGACATACTCTGCACATTCTTCATCAACATACACCTCAATACAAGTACTCGATGTTGCTGAACCTGTTCTTTGTCCTATTTTTTGAGGGACCTATTACAAAAAAATTAATGAAATTACTCAAAAATTATCAACAGTTGAAAAAAAAAGAATACAAGAAAGCAAAGTTTGACTAAGAAGTCAGTGGTGCCAGACCTTATATGATGACCACTTTTTAGGGATTGAAACATTTTCCTTACTTCGATCTGATCGGCTTCCTAGAGTACTCCAAGATCTTTCGTTGGCTTTCAGATTCGAGCATTGATCGTTTGCCCCAGTATTTGCATCTTTGTATATGGTGAGAGGCTTATTAGTATCAATCCTGTGAAAACACAAAAATATCTACATGTCAAGTACAATAAAGTACATCAGTTTGAATGGTGGGGAAAACATCATACAATATTCCCGAGAGTAGAATCACCTAAAATGTATTTTAAAAAAAGAAAAAGGCAGGAGAGACAGGACATCTTTTCATTGCAACAATGCTAGTGAATTCAGAAACGACGCACTATACATTAACTTATAACTTAATGATGTTTTGGGAAGTTCGACTAAGAGAAGGAGTTTATTTGCAATTGCAAAATATCTACATGTCAAGTACAATAAAGTTCATCAGTTTGAATGGTGGGGAAAACATCATACAATATTCCCGAGAGTAGAATCACCTAAAATGTATTTTAAAAAAAGAAAAAGGCAGGAGAGACAGGACATCTTTTCATTGCAACAATGCTAGTGAATTCAGAAACAACGCACTATACATTAACTTATAACTTAATGATGTTTTGGGAAGTTCGACTAGGAGAAGGAGTTTATTTGCAATTGCAACAGATCTAAGAAGCACAGGCTCTAACTTAAAATAACTTAACAATTATGTGGATGTAAACAAAGTACTATATTAACAATATAGTTATAGTTCGAGTAAGTTTTTGTTCTGGTTGTTGACTGCATACAAAGTGGAATATCTCTGAAAAAAGCTGGCAGGAATCATTAGGTTCCATAATTTATCATACTAACAAAGAAACTTGTCTTTGTTATTTGATTATCTTCTTTTTTTCCATTTTTCTTTCTTGTCTTCCAGACTTCCGCATTTTTTGCTGCAAAAGCCTAAAGGTAGTAGTCTTGTAATTTAAGACAATTTAAAAATATGAACAAGTTGTGATGACTACATAGGTGTATGAAATCCTTGCTTATACATGCTTAGTGGGTAGTTTCACCTTTCCTCATTTATAAAAGCACAAAAGAAACTTGTTCACCTGAGAAATGCCTAATTTTGATTAATAGGGAACAGCTGACCTCTGTAGTGCGACCATCCTCTTAGATTGTCCAAAATTTTCTGCAGGCTGTCTTCCTGGGACTTCAGAAGATAAGGTAAGTGCTATACACTATAAAAATCACAATCAACTCCAAGAATGGCTTACTCGATTCTGCTGAAGTTAAAACAGTTCCAAAGCTGCGAATGGGCAAGGGATGATCTGCAAGACCTTCCTGTATGAGAAATACAAGAAGATAAGTACGTGTATAAAGATGAACAGAAAATTTTTCGAAGTTTAACGTGACATACGTCATTGCCATGCTTTTTTTGTGTTGAGCGCACAAGGAATGTCCTGTATGCATCTTCTAATTTCACTAATGATCTTGCCTTCCTATGATACAAAATCAACAATTCTATGCTTAGTTACCTAAAAAACCAGCAAACACTTAGAAAATCTTGCATTTTAAGTGTACATTCATATGCAATTTAAGATACTTTTTTCTTGTTATTTAATCAAAATATTTCCAAATTCCAGAAAAGGTTTCTCCAGTGACTCATCACTCTTGTATGTCTTCATGATACAAGCCTTTTCCCATCAAAATTCACAATCTAAGAAAAAGAAAATCCCTTGAAGGTCAGATGAATGTTACAACCAAGTATCGACCTACCATCAAAGCTTTAATGCATGCTGGAGGCAATTTCCAAAACAATCTTTACAAAAGCACTGTCTAGTTTGTAGGTGAAGGTCAATCTTTACAAACATAAAGTAACTCTCAAACTTCTCATAAACCTTCAAAAAGTCTAAAATAATGAAAGCAATCTCTTGTCTTGGATGGAAGATTCATATCGAAGGACACAAACAACAAACCACAATTTTATGAATCAATATAAATAATCATATTACAAGTTTCGTAGAGAAATTTAACCTTGCTAGACCAAGATTGAGGATCTCATCAGCCTTCCTTAGCTTATTCTTGGACTCCAGGTGCATGGCATAGGATGTGTAGAAGATTGAATGACTTTGCCCAATTTGATTCGCCTCCAAGAATTGGAATATGACTTCAGCATCTTCACAGTTATCCGCCTACAGAAAGAAATCAAGGTCCCGCATATTCTACCCAAATACGAAAAGAAAGGCCATAAAATATCAAGAAAGTAATCATGGTACCCACATATTCGAGCCACACTCTAAGATAACGCAAATCATCCCGATAGCGGTCATCATGCCAAAAGGTGCGCACACATTGCTCGTACATCACGATCAACCCTGAGCACTCTCCTCCGGTAGGGAATGATTCTTGAACCCATTTGATGCACCTTCATCAGGATGTATAATCAGATTAAATGGGGAAGCAAGAAAGATCCAGACTAATGTCAATTCAAAGGCTATTATGAGGACAAAACCATTACAAAGATCTCAAGAGAACATAGTAACGCATCCAGAGTAAGGAACAATAATTCAAGTATAGTTCACAAATAAGATCTGGATAGAGTAATAATGTC